AAATCCCAGTGGGGAATAAATACTACCAAAATAAAGTTTTATCTATCTCAAAAAATGCTAAAAAATTCATATGGGTACAGTGTTGCATGACTGCGCAATTGTCATTCAAAGTGTGATAGCACTGAAAGCTGAAAATTGCCCTGGACAGGAAGGGGGTGAAAGTGTCCGGACAGGAAGTGGTTAATAAGTGATTGTACACCCAGTGTACAATTACACTAGCTGCTCATTTCAATCATGTAGAGTTATTAACTTTGAACATCCGTCAATTGATGTTAATTACAGGCAGTGCTTGAAATTGTGTATGCTATCAAGCTGCAAATGACCATTAAGGTGGTGAAACCAAGGGTTTCTCAGGAACAGTCTTGCTGCCAGTGGAACAAATTGTTACCTATGTGGGGCAAAGGAAAGGACTGAAGTAGCACAGTTGCACTAAAACTACCATCTGGGGAGTCTCACAACATTTCCTTGGGAAGGCAACGTGTTTGAGAGCAGGCAGATGCACCCTAATTGCTCAGGGATATAACTGCCTCAATAATTATCCTAATTCCCTTGGATCTGGGCAGTCATTGGGCATTGGTAGGGCACTGGGCTTGTGAAACACTGAAATGTTCCTCCATCAAGGACAAGGGGACATTACATTGTAGTTCATATGTTTCCACTTTAAGGCTTGACTATGCAGGTGATTTTGATAGTTTGCTACACTTGTTTGCTTATCCTTATTAGGCTAGAGCTACAAAGGAGAGCCTAGTAGCCCAATTTAAAGTAGTTGTAAAGCCTGAAGGTTTTTTATCATGTATTCTAAAAAACCTTCAGTATGCAGCTCGAAATGTGCACGAAAGCAGCTGCTGTCTTGGCTCTGTGCCTCATTGGCTCAGAGAGCCAGTGAGACAGGGAAAGAGGTCTTATGGACACACAGCGGGACTCGGGAATGAGCACACACGAGTGCCCCCATAGCAAGCTGCTATGGGGGCACTTGGCAGGGGGGAGGAGCCCAGAGAGCTGACAGGGGACCCTAGAAGAGAGGATCGGGGCTGCTCTGTGCAAAAGCCTTGAACAGAGGAACAGGTAAGTATGACATGTTTACAGAAAAAAAAAAGCCTTTAGTATCACTTTTTAAGTAGCAATTGATCACTAAACAGGTAGAATAATAGCATTCTATGGAAGATACACAAATGTTATGCAGTAGCAATGAATCTTGCGTGATTGCACAGTGCTGCATTTGTATGCAGTTGACCACTACAGGATGTTAACACATGCTACTTGTTTTTAGCTTACTCCATTCAATCACTCAAGTGATGTAGTACGTCTGTTTGGCTATCATTTTCTACTGCCTGCCAATCTACTGTGTTGCTCTAGCCAGCAAATATTTCAAGTCTATCTGAACCCATAAACAAAATTTTACAATGTTGCAGCTTACCAGTCCTTAGATATAGTGGCTGCAATTTTGTTTCTTTGGCTTTTTCTCTTTAGTTCCACCTGGCAATCCTGCAAATAACATACTTTCTGTCCCTTTGTGTCTGTCCTCATTTCTTTATGGTATCTATGGAATGTACCATGGTTGTCAAATAAGCTGGACTTCAAACCTGTCTGCCTTTGTTGATGTCTGTTACATTTTAATAGGATTATTAGTTTACACAGTAACAGTAAAGATATGTGTTCTCTTTTCATCTCCCAGAAAGTGACAAGGATGTTGCATTTCTGGCAAGATCAACAGGTACTTTCAGTACATGCTGGAAATTTTATTAGGCTGAAAAAAGAACTCTAATGCAACCATCATATCTAAGGATTAGTAGAATACAGTGTACAAAATTTTTGTTTTGGGGTTTTAATGCTTTAAATTTCTCTGCAACCAGAGACTAAAATATCTTTTGTATCTTAGCCTTTAAAAGGCTCCCTTTTAGCTCTGCAATCCCTTTGCTGAGACCAGCAACTGGAGTTGTACCTGTAGCACCACCAGAATTCCCACTTGAGATTGCTGCTTGCTTGTTCAGTGAATGTGGTTTGTTAAAGGGAGGTCTATTTTTGGTTCAAAATGGAAAAACCTTTTAAGTATGATCTTAGGCTAAAAAAGGCATCCTCTTTCATATGGAAACTTAACTGATGGAGCACCAATCTTATGGTGGCCTTAAGAGGCCGTACATTATCTGCAGGGCCCTTGCAACAGTTGCACAGATGAATACTGACACATGGTACTGCCCACAGATGTATTTCTTCTTTTTCTTGGCAATATTTCAAGAAATTTGGGAACGCAATTTATTTTGGCACAGCAACGTCAAACGACAAGCAAGACAATTCAGGAACATGTCTTTCTTAAGACAACGTCTGACGATGGTGATGATAAACCTGTTTCTCACTTTCTTGTTATCATTGATCTTTATCTTTTCTTTCCTTGTAAGCTGTCGACAATGTACCACCCACTTCTCCTTCCTGCCCAGTGCGCATTTCTCTCGCCAACTACCTTCTTTCTTCTTTTCCCATCACTCTCTCGCTCTTTTTTATTTTCGAAAGCACCAGCGTCTCAGTGTTTCTCGGCCTTCCATCCAGCATTGATCTCCCAGTGTTTTTCTTGCTCATGTTTGTTCGGATAAAGGCTGTCTCTCCGATTGACAGCACTGTTGCCTGCAGGCTTGTTTTTTGCCAGATGTGTAGTTACACGCTTTAGATGTGTCAAATTATTTTCGGGGAATGTGGGAATATTCCGCGGGGCGGCTGTCTGTGTCTGCCTGTTATCGGCTTTTAAAAGCACGAATGGAAACAATCCGCTTTCTCTGGTAAATCATCTTCTTTTACACAAAAGGGAAAAAAAAAGTGTTTCTACCGTCTTGGCACAGCTTCTTGTTTTTCATTAGTCAGTTGTTAATTAGTCCCAATCTGAGATTAGGCTAGCTGGATACTGCAGGCGTTTTATGCTTTTGTTTGAGGGGGTGAAAACTACTCTTTTTTTTATGGGGTGTTTTTTTTAATCCAAACTACATTTATGTATGTAAGTGAATAGTTTTATAAGGTACGGTTACATGTTTTAAAGTAAATCATTTGCATGGTTGTCATATTTACTGGGTGTGTTTAATGCATTTCCTTCAAACTCTATAAGACCCAACTGAAATTTCATTTTAAATTAGCTAAGTACATTTCCATGTGCATCAAAACAAAAGTTGTGTAACATCTTACAGTTTATTTTCTTTTTAAAGCAGCCACAGCCTGGGTAAAAAAAGCCTAACCGGGTAGAAAAGCCTGTCCGCTGCAGAGAAAGAACCCTTGCTCTGTATGTGGAAGTAATGGTTTTTCTGTGGGTCCATCATATCAACTGCTGAGTCAGACCTATAGCTCTAAAGTTAGCAAAGCTCACACGTCTGCTGAATAGAGAGCTTGAGCTATGTCAAAGCAGAAGACATGTCAGACCTCTGCAGAGAGACCACTGCTTCCCACACAGAAAGCAAGGATCCTCCTTCACAGTATGCTGACAGAAGACAGGCTTTTCCACTTAAGGTATAGTTTCTTTCTAAGGAAAGTACACCTACTGTTATATTTTCCAGAATCTTGCATACAATTTAAAGTCAGCACTCCTTATCCCATATACCAGTTCCAAGTCAGTGACACAAAGTATTAAACACAGCAAGTCCACACAACAGCAAGACAACTCACATCTACAGAATAATGCCTCATATACACAGGTCTACTTAAGCATTTGCCGTACAAGGGACGAGTGTGCCCACATTGGAATGCACAGGTAGGTGTTCTGAGCATCCCCATGCAGGCTGCCCTTTTCATGTCAGTTGGCATACAGCCACTGCTCTCAATTTGACAGCTGTTTGGGTACAGGCGTTTGTCCCCAAATGCAGACAGTGTTCATTTGTATACTTGTCAAATTGGAAGCAGCAACTGTGTCCCAATTGACATGAATAGGACTGCCAGCATGGGGATGGACAGAATACCTATGCATCGCCATGCTATTAAACATGACCCCGCATGGGCATACACTTAAGTACGTTTATGTGAATAAAGGATAAGACATTAGCAGTAGCACACTTTGTTTCCCTCTTGAAAAGTTTCCTTTAAAGTGGCACTTTTTAAAAATGAATTCTTTCAGATTTGCAGCTGATGTCTCTATAGAAACTGACACTTCTGGGTGTGTTGGATTTTGAGTCCCCTACTGCACTCAATGGTTCCTCCCGCTGACCTCTATGTTGCTACTGTTGACTTTGGTTGTGTAGGGATTGTCATGAGGAGCCACTGAAAAACAAGATATAGAGTGTTTTCATTAGGACCTGATGCAGACTGACATGTCATGTTGCAGTGTGCTAAAAAGAAAAACTGGTTAATGCTGACACAATACTGTCTGTAGAAAATGCACATCACCATAACATTGCCATTGCTGACTTTCCGTAAATGTTAATCACCTGGCCATGTCTGCATTTAGTACTTCTTCGTCACAAACCTGGAACAAATTTTCTGAAAAATCCAAATTCCTTATATCTATACTTGCTCCCAGTCAGTAACTCAGGAAGTATTGAAGCCCATTTATCAGCCTGAGAACAAGGCAACTTGCATTTTTTTCAAATAGAGATTAGCAGTGCCAGCCTACATATTTCTTTCCTAACCGCTTTTCCTAATTCATGGATTTTAGTGTGAGCAAGTAATACATTGGACACTTCACCAGCTAGAAACTGGTATTACAGCATTGTTAATTGTTTTATATCTGTCAAAAGTGTGCTCATTGACCCAGAGGGAATTTGGAAGTGTACTGGCTGTACAAAGTTGTATATTGTTAATACTTTAACAACTGATAAGGAGTATATAACATGTGACATGGAATTTAGAGTACAGCGAGTATGTAACATACTGCACAGCTTACAAAATAGAGCAGTCCAGAGTATGTCAAGTCAAGCACAGTATATAGAGAAGAATGGTCAGACAATGTCTTACATACACAGCCAGAATGGGCAGACTTTCCTAATGTAAACATAGAACACTGTCCACAGCACAGATCACACTAAAGTGCCATGCAAGATTATTTGGATGGGGCTACCTTGCACTCTCACATTTTGGGTTTATGTATAATAATCTGCGATGATGTAACAAAACAGTCTTTGTTTCAGGTTACTGATCATGCCACAACTGCCCTTCTGCATTACCAGTTGCCTCAGATGCCAGATGTAGTGGTCCGATCTTTCATGGTAAGAATGGACTTTTATCATTTATATTTATAGCTGGAAAAATAATATTGTATGCTTGCTGAATATTATAACCAGCTACAGTGTGCTTAGTGAGCATATATTTTGGCACATTTCACACTTAGATGGTTATGAAAGGTATTCATCTTTTAATTGTTTTCTGAAAAGTTGAACTTATACTTTAATGAAGGTGTATTTATAATGTTTGCATAGCTTGGGGCTTTCTGAACTACAGTTGCCATACTAGGATAAGCCACCTAGATATTGTAATGTCTTCAGCCAGTTTGATGGACTTGCATTGACTAATTGCAGTGGTAAAACTAGATCCCTTTTCACATATTTTATCAGAAAATATGGTTGCCCCAATGTATATATAGTATAACCAGAGGTTGCCTTCAATGAAAACTGTATTTCAAAAAAGCTTGGTAGATACAGAGATATAGGTAGCTATATTTTTATTTAAATTTTCACTTATTTTGGTTACGTTGGGCCTTTCCCTCCCACCTACCTTGACCCAACTAAACCTAGGCATACACTGTTAGTTTTCTTTCATTTAAACTGAACAAAAGAAATTTAATAGATTTCTCCATCCATGTTCCATGCACCCCTTGCTGGGATATTGTGTAATACCCCAACAGCAGCTCTATCTGGTTGCATACAGCTGCTGCTCATCTGAACATTTTCCACCAGGCTCCTTCAATAAAATTCATTTGAGCAATCAACTTTTGTCAGGTGGAACAGGGCCATCCACTAAGCGAATTTCAGACAGAAACTATCCAAAATTTGCTCAATATATGGCCAGCTTAACTCTTTCCTAGCTACATACAGTATATCAGAGCCTAGCCATAAAATACCCTTTTTTAAAATATTAGACAAAGCAGTCCTCATAATTTATCCCAAAGCAGGAGCATACCTTTTTTTTCTTCTTCTTTTTGTCCAACATTTGTTTTATACTTAACTGCTAATTGGAGTCATTGCATTTGATGTTAACATAGAAGAGCTGCAAGTTACATCGATCTACTCCATTTTTTCTCATCTTGTCCCATTATGAAGTTAGCCAATCTGGTCTGACAGGTGGAAAGGTCTCATAATCACCAGACTAGGGAAGAATCAGCAAGCAGATTCAGTGTTTATTATCAGTAGGGGGAAGGAGGGCTTCTTGATTGATCTGTAAAACTCCAGCTGAGACCAGCTTCCTAAACATCTGACAGACATTCAATGGAAGTGTCAATATTTTGGTTCTTCCACCAATCAGCAGAGCACTGAAGCTTATAAAGTACCGACATGTCTTAATTACCTACAGCATAGGGTCTGCTTTAATTTCATGGTGGATCTCACAACCTGCACTACATTTTATATGCGTCTGCACTATGTATCCTTCACTTCAATTAAAATAAACATTTAGGGGGTTAAGCGTAGTATGAGAAAGCTGGTATTTGAATTGAACTCCAGAGAAATATAAAAACTACCTTACACAGTTTGGCTTCCCCACGTTGCAAGGACTAATTTTTTAATAGGACGCTGTTAAAGACACTTTATATTACCCTTTGCACCCACGGCAGCCAGAGCACGTCTCCTTTCTTGTGATTGTGACTAGGTCCTTGACGTCCTTTTAGATGCAGGAAGGCTTGTCCTGCATTAAACTTGATGACGCTGGATTGAGTGCCAGAGAGAAGTGGCTGTGGGAGACCAGCCGCATGGAGAGGCCTGTAGGAGCTAGGAATAAAGTAAGAGTGCTTTTTTTCATGGTGACCTAGACAAAATGCTACAAGGGTAATCTTTTTATTTTTTAATTCACCTGTAGCCCTTTTGCTACCACCAATGTTGAGCCGCTTTTACATGCACTTCCGAAGGCGGCAGTCATTGAGAATGTATGTGTACTTCACAAGTCGACTTTTGGCATTCCGTAGAAGTGGTTCAGACATCAGTAAAAGCACTCAATCACTTCCACAACCACCAGATCCTCCATCCAGTGAGTGAACAAGGAAGCAACATGTATTATGTCTCTTCTTGGTTCAGAACTGTAATTCCTTGGGAGTGTTGGTTGGGGAAGGAGCTAACGGAGCACCATCTGTGCTCCATTAACTTCACTGGGCTTTAAAGAAGACATCAGGGATCTAACAGATCTCTGATATCTTAATAAAGAGAACCTGTCACAAGTTATATGCTGTCACGTAAGGGATGACTATTGGCCCACTATATGACAGCAATAAAGTTATGTGAAAAAAATTGTCAAAAAAACCCTAAAGTGAATATAAAAACAAAACATTTTTTTAAAGCCCACCCTCAGGTACATGCGTATGCATGTGTCAGGTGTGGCTATGTTTAAAAACGACAACTGCACTACATACGTGTTATATTGCTGCGCAAGCTGCAGTGAGAGCAGTAATTCTAGAGGCATGGGCAATTCACGATCAGCACTAGATTGATGACTTGTAAGGGCATTTACAGCACTACCTATGGATAATTGTGGGTACAAACGTTTGGCTCTGTTTTACAGGTACATGCAATTTTAAAGCTTGACATGTTTGGTATCTGTGTACCTCATCATTTATCTTTTCACAAATAGAAAAGTAATATGTTGTGTCTGTGTTCACTAAAATTAACTATAGTGTTTTTCTTACTGAAAATATACGTTTGATAAACTGCTGTGCTAATAGTGCGTGACATAAATGGAACTACTACCATATTCTTTTTCAGGGTCTCTGTTTTCAGCAAATATATAGTGTTTGGGGGTTTTAACTAATCTTCAATTGTGTATTTTAACATTTGCAAAATAGATTTTTTTTTTTTTCATAGATGCTTCTACCTGCCTGTCAGAGCTTTTTTTTCTGTAAGTGTACACTAAGTCATACATGCGCAGATCAGTGTATATTGCTGTGCTGGGATGAACAAACTCCTGTGCTCTTGCGCGGGAGTTACATCATCCTGGCTAATGAAATTGGCCCATAACTCCAAACACCAGAAGAAGATTGGGAGAAGATAGGTGGACAGCAGAGGGGATTGCAGTCATCACAGCACAGGAGGCGATTGCTATGCTAGGTAAGTCTGCCATAATTTGCAAGTATGCAGCACATACTTGCACATCATTGCAAAAAACTCCAAGGGGCCTAAAATTGTTCATGCAGTCTGGTGGTTTAGTCGCAGTTTAACCAGTCTCTGCGACATACCTGTACCTCACCAGGTTGAATGGTTATACTGAAATGATGCCTGCAGCTATAGGCATCATTCTGGTATCTTTTTTTTTTTTTTTTAGTTGGTGATAGGCTTTAGCCTAGGTTCAAACTGATGTGGTGCAGGGAACTGCATGTGATTCAGACAGGAATCGCACTACATCCCTGTTCAAATCACATGCGATTCCCTGCAGTGCAATTTGAGCCCATTCATTTTGTATTGCTCAAATCACACCACACTTGCACGAAAAAGGTGCATGCACCTTTTTGGGGGGTTTTTTTTTTTACGCACTGGAATCGGATCGCATGGATGATCACATCCATGCTATCCAATTCAGCCAATTGCTGTGTTTTGCAAACTGTTTTTGGGGTGTCATTAACTTAACATTGACACCTGCAGTGGTCACATGAACAGAGTGTGATTGTGATGTGGTGCAGTAAACACACAGGAATTACTGTGAATCCTGCATCAGTGTGAATCTAGGCTCAATGTAAAAACAATCCTAATGGCTAATTAGCCGCTGGATCGCTGTCACAGGTGGCGGAAGGAGGACACCTGTCCCACCGGGGTGCCCGGGAATGAAGATGGCGGTTCCGTTGACTGACCATAGAGATGACTGAGGATCAGAACTTTCCTGATCATCTCTATAATCTAAGAAACCGGAAGCGATGAGTACTTTGTCATTTCCAATTTTGCCAGCATGAAAATAAGCCATCACTGGCTTGTGAAAACATCAGATAAAACTGGGGGTTTGATCTGATGCTTTGAAGGGCAGAGGAGAGACCTTGTGATAACCACAAAAGTGATAAAAAAAGATAATGAGAAGTTTCTTTTTTAAAAAGTTAAGTAAAATAATAAAATTAAGAAAAAAAATGTAAGGCTCCCCCCGCCCACCCTGTGCTCATGCGCAAACATTGGTCGTGCACGCATATGTTAATAGTGTTCGCACCTGAGTTATCAACATGAATGTTTTAACGGGAGCAATAATTCTGGCACCAGACCTCCTGTGTAACTAAACTGCTAACCTGTAAATGCTTTTAAAGCGTTGCCTATAAATAATTTAATGTACCATAGTTTGTCGCCGTTCCACACCATTTAAAGTGTGACATGTTAGTTATCTATTTACTTGGCGTAACATCATCTTTTATATTCTACCAAACAATTGGGTAATATATTATGTTTTTGTGCATTAAAATAAATCAAAGTGTATTTTTTAGCCAAAAAATTGAGTTGTAAATACCGTGCGAAAAAAAAAAAAAAAAAAAAAACGCAACACCCACCATTTCATTCTCTAGGGCCTCTGCTTGAACAGATATATAATGTCTGGGGATCTAAGTAATTTTCTAGTAATAAAATGTTGATTTTTACATGTAAAAGAAGAATGTCAGAATTGGCCAGGGGCCTAAAGTGGTTAAAGTTTATGTAGACCCAGTCAGTAAAGCTTTAACATGTTAAATCTGCTAAATGCATTCCAGGGGCATCAAAACAAAGGGTGTTCAAACCATTTTTTGTAGAAGGCAGCCATAGCTCGAAGAGAAAAATGTGACCCCTGCCAGCCTGCTGTAGAGAAGGACCCTTGCTCTCTGTGTGATAGCAGAGTTCTGTCTGTGGAAGTCTGACACACTCCATGATCAGTCAAACATGCAATCAGCAATGCTCAGAGCTACTTACTAATTAGAGAGCTCTGACTCTGCAAGGGGTGTGTTGGATGTCTACAGAGAGACCACTGCTCCCACACAGTGGCAAGGGTCCTTCTCTACAGCATGATGACAGGAGACTGGCTTTTCTACTCAGGATGTGGCTGATTTCTGAAAGAAAAACTGCAGGACTTTGAATCCTTTTTTGTTTTGATGCATTTAGAGTGTATTTAGTTGATTCAAACTAAAAGTACAGTTTTGCTTTAATGTAATTTTAAAAAGTAATTTTTATTATTTTTAAATTGGCAGCTTTCATTGAGCAAGACCTCATGATTGTGCCACAAAGGTCCTTGTTCATGCACTTCCTGTTCTAGAGTGACAACACTCACCCAATTTGTGTTCCTGTATTATCATCCTGTAACATGGGCTTCCCATGGGGACTGAAAGTGATATTGCTCACATTCCTCCCTTAGACATGCCATGCAGCTCTCACTGGAGTGCATGTAGACAGAATGTGGTTGCAAAGAGCCTGGAGGAGATCAGAGACACTGAAATGCAACAAAGTAGAAAGTGTAAAAACAATATTCATTAGAAGTACAGCCTTCCTGATATTCTTATCCCCCCTCCCCCCTCTTTCAGTGCAATTCCTGGTATTGCAGAAGACTTAAAGACTTCAGCACTTTCCTGGGGCATCATTGCCATTGGTATCCACATAGCTTTTACCAGCCAATATATGCTTACAGCTTGCACAGGATCCTGTGCATGCAATCAGAAGGCTTCTGTCTTCAGACAAGCAAAGTACAGTCAAATCTGGCACTGCAAAATTGTTTTGCCTGGCATGTCTGACATCATGTTTATCCTTTATCCCTCATCAGTCTGGACTCCCACCCCCCAATCACCAGCTTGCACTTACCCCCAGACTATAGGCTGGGGGTGATACTAACTTCATTCATTCTTCTGGCTTCATGTCTATCAGAGTGAGAGCACTCCTTCCCAGCTTAGGTTTGCTATGGTCACCCTGCTATTAAATCAGGCAGTCCTGCCTGTTCTGGTCCCAAGCCCCACTGCTGACCTAATAGGGCCTGGGTCCAGTACAGGATGATTGCATGTACCCCCCCTATCAGCAGACCTGACTGTGGGCATCCTGTATGTGAATAAAAGTAAAGTGCCTACTGTAAATGTGATTAGGAATACCTTTCCAGCATTACAACATTGGTAAGCAAAGGGGTTCCAAGATCATTAGGTCATTGACAAAAGAGAGGGGGGTGGATTACAACACTTCGATGTAAAACTGAAGCCCTGAGTAAGCAGCATTTATTCCACATTTGCATTTCAAGGCTTTAACTTTCTATTAGGACAGGAGTGTATCTTTTAATCCCAATAAAATACACCAAAGTCAGCTTTTTAACTGCCAGTGGCCAAGAACAACAAAACGAAGAAAAAAACTAACCCACATTACAATACATAAATATATATATATATATATATATATATATATATATATATATATATATATATATATATATATGAATGAACATCTAGTTCTAAAAATGTATTTAAACACTTTGTCATTGCTGCATGTTTTGTATACAGCTAACATATAGTGTAAGTTTTTTTTTTTCTGGCTCTTTAAGAGCTTGGCTTGTGATAGAAAAACATATTGACAGATACTGCAGGGAAGCAGTTTGCTGAACACAGACAAATGCAGGACCCAGTCTGCAGCCAATCCCTAATTTTCTCCCAATTATTGATTGGGCAAAGAAGACTTTGCATAAGAACACTGAGTGTGTATTAAGTACCCCCCCTCCCCAACTGACTTCAACTTAAAGTATATCAAAACTTTTATTTCTATTTTGAATAGAGTAGGGAATGGTTTAAAACTCCTGTCAGGTGGGTGTGTCCCATTGGGGAGATTTCCTTTCATTTCCTGTTCTGTACATTCAACAGGAAAAGAGAGGAAATCTCTCCAAAGTGGGGTAATACCCTCTTGTCACCATAGTAAGTGTCATTAGAGATCTCCACACAATTTCTGTTATGATAACAACTCAGATTGTCGGATTCCCCATCGCTGTCAGTCCCAGGGACAGTAGTCAAACTGAAACAGTACATCTTGCTAACTGGTACATAGCAAAAAAAAAGAAACTGACAAAAGTTCTAACCTCTCTCCACCCTAGCTAAATAAATAAAAAAAATCATGCTGTTGTACAGTTATTTGCAAAGGTTTGGCAACCCCTAATCAAATTTTCTGTTTTTTTCTTTTACTTTGAAAAAAAAAAAAAGCTAAGGATGTAAAGGATCTCATTTTGTTTTAATGTGGTTTTGCTTTACTGCTTCTTGCAATGCTCAAAATGTCTTTGAGTTAGATGTTATTGCATCTCAGTCTTGATCTCTTGCAGCCACTTCCTGCCTGCAGGCACTTCAGCAGTAGCATTTCTAAGGGCAGGTTTGCAGATGGTGTCACCAGTGGATCATGCTTGTGTAATGTGTGTTGGAGGAGCCATTTTTAGTTGGAATCCCAGGTGACAATACAGCAGCACAGTTGGTAGATAGGGACAGAGAGCAGTCACTCTATAACAGTAAATGCTCTAAAGTGATTGTAAACTTAAATTTTTTTCTTGTTAAAATTAATAAATATGCCATACTTACTTGCTCTGTGCAATGGTTTTGTACAGAGCAGTTCCAATTGTGTTCTTTTGGGTTCCCCTGCCAGCGCCTCCATTGCAGAGAGTGCCCCCGTAAGAAGCTGCTTCCTATGGGGGCAGTCATGCTAGCTTTTTCCCAAGCTCCTGTGCCTTCATCCATAGACTCAAACAGCTTGACTCTAGCCTACGCCCATTCCCTCGTCATAGGATTTGATTGACAGCAACGGGAGCCAATGGCTCCCACTGCTATCAGCCTGCCTTGTGAGGATGCATAGAGAGAGGAGAAAGCCATTACCTGCGCAACGCTGAATCGAGATTGGGCTCAGGTAAGTATGGGGGGGGGGGGTTGATTTTGTCGTACAGAAGATTTTTTTACCTTGATGCTAAGAATGCATTAAGATTAAAAAAAAAACCCTGAGCCTGTAGAACCACTTTAACATGGAACTTAATGGAAGAAACATCAGGTATTATTTTATTCATAGCTTCTGATTTAAAAATGTTAACTCTTATATGACATTTTAGTGACTGTGTTTACTTATACTTCGAAACATTAACACACACCATTATGGATTCTTTCCAGTAAGATGAACACTTTCACACTTATATATTGTAAAGAAAACAACAATGCTGTAGTCCCTGTCTCTAACCTGCAGCATAATTTCATAATTTTGCCCTTTTGAGAACATATTAGAGGACATAACCTCCATTTACTAGTCCTCAACCTCCGTGTAAAATTTCATACTTTTAAAAAAAAAAACAGCAGCAAAGAATGCAATTTATTACAGACCCTTGCTTCCAACCCATTCATTTGCCTAGACATCATAGACAGCACTGTGACTTTCCTCATCCACCTGGGAATCCTGAAGAGTAGACATCACAAGCATACGCTCCTGCGCAGGCTTTAAGTAATAATCTAATAAATATATAAGTTAGATCAGTTTTATTAAAAGGTCTCCGTTTTGCAGAACCCCTGCATTTTATCTATATATTTATAGCATAGTTTCTATGCAGCTATGTTTATTTTTGGAAAGTGTGGAGTTTTTTCCTGCGTGTTGAATAAAAAGCTCCCCACCAGATGGAAGGCCAATTTTAGGACAGCTGAGTCTTAGAGAAAAAAAAAGTCTCCCAGTCCAAAGCCTTCAGCTCAGCTATCTTGTGACCTTGTAAACAGAGGGGGGACACAGTTTGTATGCTCCTGCAGATTCAGTGTATCTTTGCTGGACTCGGGCCAGAGAGTGTCATCTTGTCACTACGAGCATTAAACATGACAGCGAGGGTGATGCTTGTAATTTCACCACTTCTCTTTCTCTCCCTCCTCTTTGCAGACCTGGTTAAGAAGTTATATCAAGCTGTTTCAGGCTCCTTGCCAACGCTGCGGGAAGTTTTTACAAGATGGCCTGCCACCCACATGGAGAGATTTCCGTACTTTGGAGGCTTTTCATGATACCTGCCGCCAGTAGTGTCGAAGTGCTAATCTCTGTGGGGGCTTTTGGGGACGCCGTCTTCCTGCCACTTCTTGTGATTTTTCTGGACAAGTTTTACAGGTTCCTTCAGTGAGAAGAAGTTCCTCCCATCCCAGGGGGGCAGTGGACCTGTGAACCCCACAGATGAGAAAATAAATCCTCTATATGCTCCACTAATGTACGGCCAATTCTCAGTGACTGGGGCACATCAGTGACATTTAGATATGACTGAATTCTAAAACTGAGGGGAGATTGGGAATTTACTGATTTATACAGCTGTTTTCCCATCTTATCAAATGCCATCTTTATCTCCAAAGAGACCAGAAAAATATAGAATTTTCTATCCTTTATCGTGTTTTGATAAATATTGAGCTATTGTATAATTTTTGTTTTGCTTTTGATAAAATGTTTTTATCTTTGTAGCTATGAATTTGTCCATAAACTGGAAACAGAATACAGTAGGGTGCACAAAGCTGTATAAATGTGTTTGCCTTTGTTCAGGGCATCATCCCCGTGGACCGTCTTTAATGCTGCACTGAGCATCAATGATGTCTATGCTTTTCATGGACAGCTGTATGCACTGGTTGTGCTTTGTTCTTTGAATGTGTTCAATGCCAGACCTATAGAGGCATTTAGAGCGTGTGTGGTATAATTTAGAGGGGCAATCTAGATTCAATTTGAAGTGCAATCCAAGTATAGGAAATATAATCAGTTGTCAGATATGCCTGTGCATTTGAAATATGTAAGAGAATTTAAAGCTAAATTCCAGGATGCAAAGCATGTTATTTATTCATTAGCCTCCTTCTCTCAGTGCACATTAGCAATGTCCCCTTCCTCAAAATATGCTTTGTAAATACTATAGATAAGGGATCAGCAAACCTTTCCACATTAAGTGTCAATTTACAAGCATTAGACAACGGCGTGCCAGTGAGCACTAGAGCACCATAGCCATATAATTTATTTTCATATTTTGCCCTATAGTTCTGGTAATGGCAGGTTGAACTCATTTTTTTTGTTATTTTATCAGGTGTACACAGAATTCAAGTTCATATTCACCATTAATATGTACTGAACAGTGAACTGAACTTAGTTTCAGTGTGATCCCTGTCCCTCTCTTTCATGGCTTAGTTGTGCAATGTCTTTTTTTTTTTTTTTCTTTATCGTACATCATGGGACGCAGAGCAGGCTATTCATGACTATGGGTTTTATGCCACCTATAGGTGAATAGACACTGGCCGACCAATCAGAGAGGAAGTCCTTCCCTATATATAACCCCCCCTACACAGGAAGTAGTTCAGTTTTTTTGCCAGTGTCTGTAAGGTGGATAGTAACTGAAAGAGTGTTTTTTCTTTTCTTGGGAGAGTGCATGTGATCAGCACAGAGCCAATGAGCACAGTCCAGACAGAGTATATGGGTTCTGCATCCTCCTAGAGCAAAATGAAAACTCCTCCTATTAGCTTTAACATGTGCTCTGCTGGCCACTGATAGAAGTCACAAAACTGCTCTAACTGCTGATGAGAAAAGGTATTTAGCAGTTTATGTTTACTAAAATGATTTCACTTCCATGTCCTGTGTACTGTGGGAGACCAGATATAGTGAATGCAGGGTCTTGGGTTTAGTAACACTTTAATATACAGTCCACCATTGTGGACAGGTAAGACAGTCACTTGATATCTTCGACTGTCACTGCAAAAACCAGTTCTATGTCTGGAATGTATTCAACTTTTCAAACTTTGCACTAAAATGTAACCAGTTAGAATTCAGTCTCAGGTGGATGACCAGGTGTGACATTACACCACAGGTTGCACAGTTGCCCATCTTCCTCCTAAAGCCCTTGAAAATTACGCAGTCGCTCTACCCCATCTACCTACCACCGGATTTGCTTCATGGATTCGTTACAAGACAGTCTACATCTGGGTTGCTGCATGCTCCTTTTGGAAACTCTTACCACATTCTACTCCATGAGTACCCCACAGGGGAATACCCTCACTCCTGGCTATGGCAGAAACAAGGTGAAAGGGAGCCAAAACTCAGGCAAACCTTTGCTTTGCTGAAGGCCCAAACGACACTGAACGTCAGAATGCGGGTGCTTTTTCTTGCACCAGAGTAGGAAATTATTTTAACACTGGTTTCTGCATATAATTGTAGCTCTCTCTCAGGCACACATCAAGCGGCCTATCTGAGAGGAGCAGAATTTTCTCTGTCCTAGTTTATTAGACTAATGGCCTTATTATAGACATCTTTGTCCACAGCTGCAAAGCACCACACCTCTTTTTCAGCTTTTCCATCTCTACCTGAGTCAGATGCCAATATACATGCCCCAGATGAGGCAGACACAGAAGGGAATCAGGAGGATAAAAGAAAACATATTAGAGCAAGCTGTGAAAGTTTTTTCTTCCCTACACTCTCCTGCACCTGAAGCGGGAGCTTTACACAGCTTACTGGCTAATAAGCTCACTGCTGCTGTGCACAAAACTCTCAGCATTGTAGAATTTGATTCTCCCCTGTCTAGCCATGCCCTGTTTATGTTCAAATAGAATGTTCAATCTATGACAATTGGATCACTCCAGAAAAGATTTTCACTCCTCCAAAAATCTTTGCTGAACTCTATACAACGTAAAAAGGAGTTCACTAAAAAGTGGACTGTTCCAATAATTGATCCTACCATCTCAGTCTTAAACATAACATCTCACTGTACCAATTGAAGATGCAGCTTCATGCAAAGATCCTGCAGTTTGAAAGTTTGAGACACTCTTAAAAGCTCTTTTTTAACCTGGCAGGCCAAGCCCTGCAACCACCTCTCGCTGCAATTTCAGTATTTCAAACTGCAGAAAACTGTAAATGAACAATCAACATGATCCTGTATTCCAGGACTGTACTTTAACAGAGGAATTACAGCAGTTCTGCACTGCTCTTTGGTGTGGATGCCATAGAACATGTACTGAGGTCCCTGCTAAGGACAGGTGTACCCAACCCCGTTCCCAGGTTGCTGAGATGTTACCATCGCGTGATGATTCTCATATGCAGCAGAGTGCCAGTACTATTGCCGCTCTACCTTTTGGTGAACTGGCGAGTACCAGCGGCCTAGTACATGCTGGTCTTATACATACCAGCACTGCAATATCACTTGGTGAGTCCCATAAGTGCAGTACAAGCTGGTGCGATGGCAAGCACAAGTAGTGTCCCGCAGCCACCAAGAATTTGCACATAGAGCCCATAGTGTCCTCCTGGATGTGCTTGCAAATCCTGATTGGCAGCTCACAAATTCTGTAACACCCGTACTTCCCCCATTCACTGCCTAACCCGGAATTCAGGTGGAAACAGCAAATTTAACTACTCCCTTTGATTTTTTTAGAGCTGTTTTTCACAGAAGTTCTGTATGCATTGATTGTGGATCAAAGCAATTTATATGCACAACAGTTTATCGCCGCCAACCCAAATTCAAACCTTGACAGGCCATTTTCATGGAAACCTATTCCGGTTTCCGAATTTAAAGTTTTTTGGGGGCCTGACCCTCAACATGGGCATTACTAACAAAAAATGAATTGCAGTTGTATTGGTCCACAGACCCGATTCATCATATGCCCGTGTTCTCTGCTGCCATCGCCAGGCATAGATACAACAATACAGGCGTGCCTCAGTTTACAAACGCTTCGGTTAATGTAATTTTCGGTTTACGAATGAAAATCCATTGAAAATAATGCCTCGGTTTACAAATTTTTTTCACAATACAAAGCAAGTTTCCCCAGGAGGTTTATATCGCTGACCCTGTGCCTTTAAAGTGTACTTTACAAAGAGTTTTGAACAGATAAGACTTTTTTTTACTTTTTTCTGACCTCCGGAACGGATTAATTGGTTTTCAATGCATTTACGTATTAATTTTTAATCATGTCCCTGTACAGTATTTATGCCTTTAAAGTGCACTTTATAAAGAGTTGTGAACAGATAAAAAACTATTTTTTTTTAATTTTTTCTGACCTCCGGAACGGATTATTAATTGGTTTTCAATGCATTCCTATGGGAAACCGCGTTTCGGTTTACAAATTTTTCACCATACGAAACGTCCCGGAGAACGCATTAAATTCATAAACCGAGGTACGCCTGTATAATATGTTTTATGCATTTCAATGACAATACACTCTGTCGTCCTCGGGTGACCTTGAATATGACCGGCTCCACAAAATTTGGCCCCTCGTAAATCACCTTAACCAAAAATTTGCAGATATCTATACTCCCCAGCACAATATCTGTGTTGATGAGTGCCTCATTATTTTTTTCTGGCCGCCTTGCATTCAAACAATTTCTCCCCAGCAAAAGCGTGCCAGATATGGGGTCAAGATGTATAAGACCTGTGAGAGGGCAGCAAGCTATACATATAAGTTTTGGATTTATGAGGGAAAAGATAGTCATGTGGAGCCCCCCCCCCGGATGCTTAGACTACATGGGGGACAGTGGCAAGATAGTTTGGGACTTGGTGTCACTCTTTTTCATATGGGGTACCACTTGTAAGTGGACATTTTTTATTCAAGCATGCCACTATTTAGACATTTGTACAATCTTGGAATTGATGCATGTGGCACCGTGCAAACTAATCGCGGGGCTTCCCCCAACAACTTGTATATACCCTTCTTAGAAAGGGGGAAAAAGCCTGCTTGAGAAATGATGAATTGCCCGCAGTGAAATGTAAGGACAAACGGGTTGTTTTTTTCGTCCTGTCTTCCATTCACTCAGACATGACCATCCAAATTGCCACGGCAGCTGGTTTTGTTGAGAAGCCCCTCCATGACTATAATTTTAACATGGGAGCGGTGGACTTTAACGACCAGATGATGAAGCCATACTTAGTTTCACAAAAAGCCAGACGCTGGTACAAAAATGTGTCTGTTTAATTATTTCAATTGGCTCTATATAACGCTTTTGTGCTTTACAAAGCAACTGGACATAGTGGATCCTTCCCGAAATTCCAGGAAGATATCATCATGGCCCTTTTGTATCCAGAAGGTGCTATGGCCCGAACCCCCAACCCAGATGCAGTTAGCAGGCTGCATGAGAGGCATTTTCCCAATTCAATTCCTGGTACCCCAACCCAAAGGACACCCAAAAAAAGATGTGTCTATAGCAGACACGGAATTAGTCATGACACCCGCTTTGTTTTGTCCCTCCTGTTCAGGCCAACCTGGTCTCTGCCTCAAGGACTGCTTCCATTGCTACCACACACTAGTGGAGTATTAGTATAGGGCACAGCACAGTTTAGGGCACATATTTGCACAGGGTCTTGAATGATGTTAGGTAGTCAGGAAACTTTGAGAGACCCTGGTAAAGTTAAAAAAAAAAACAAAACATAAACAGTAAAAGTACAAAAAAAAGTAAAAAAATTTTTAAACCCAAAAATAGTTGGTCTTTTTTTTGTTGAGTTACTGTTCTACTGTTACGGTTTTACTGTTTTATTAACTATTGCTGTCTTCTTTGCAGGAATGCCATTCAGCTTCAGAACCCAGCTGTTTATTTAGACAGCAACAGGGTCTTGCTCTCAAAATATATACAGTCATGGCCGAAATTGTTGGCACCCTTGATATTTTTTCCTGAAAATCAAGTATTCACACAAAAAAGGTATTGCATTAACACATGTTTTGCTATACACATGTTTAATGTATTGGAACAAATATAAAACAGAGGCAGAAAAGCAAATATTAATGTCACACAAAACAAAAAATGGGCTGGACAAAAGTATTGGTTAACTTAATATTTGGTTGCACACCCTTTGGAAAACATAACTGAAATCAGTCGCTTCCTATAACCATCAATAAGCTTCTGACACCTCTCACCCGGAATTTTGCAAACAGCTCCAGGTCTCTTTATTGGAAGGACACCTTTTTAAGATCTCTCCACAGGTGTTCAATGGGATTTAGATCTGGGCTCATACTTCAGAACTGCGCTTCTTTGCCATCCAAGTGCTTTTTGACGTATGTTTGGGGTCATTGTCCTGCTGGAAGACCCAGGATCTTGGACGCAAACCCAGCTTTCTGACACTGGGCCCTACAGTGGACCCAAAATGCCTTTGGTAATCCTCAGATTTCATGATGCCTTGCACATCAAGGCACCCAGTGCCAGAGGCAGCAAAAAAACCCCAAAACATCATTTTTTTGTTCTTTGTAGGCCTCATTCAAACAGTAGAATGATGTGCTTTACCGAAAAGCTCTATCTTGGTCTCATCTGTCCACAAGACGTTTTCCCAGAAGGCTTTTGGCTTAACTCAAGTACATTTTGGCAAACTGTAGTCTTGCTTTTTTATGTCTGTGTCAGCAGTGGGGTCCTCCTGGGTCTCCTGCCATAGCGTTTCATTTCATTTAAATGTCGACGGATAGTTCGCGCTGACACTGATGCTCCCTGAGCCTGCAGGACAGCTTGAATGTCTTTGGAACATGTTTGGGGCTGCTTATCCACCATCCGGACTATTCTGCGTTGCAATCTTTTGTCCACGACCAGGGAGATTAGCTACAGTGCCATGGGTTGCAAACTTTACTGTGGACAAAGGCAAATCTAGTTCTCTGGAATGGACTTTAACCTTGAGATTGTTGAAGCCACAATTTTGGTTCTCAGGTCCTCAGACAGTTTCGTCTCCTCTTTCTGTTGTCCATGCTTAGTGTGGCACAGACAGACACACAATGCAAAGGTTAAGTGAACGTCTCTCCTTTTTATCTGCTTTCAGGTGTGCTATATTGCCCACACCTACATTGCCCCAGGTGAGTTTACAGGAGCCATGCTTGTAACATTCTTATTTATCCGCAGCCAATACTTTTGTCCAGCCCATTTTTGGAGGTTTGTGTGACATTATGTCGAATTTGCTTTCTTTCCTCCCTTTTTTGTCCCAATACACACAAAGGGAATAAACATGTGTATAGTCTTAATGCAATACGTTTCGTGAGAAATATATGATTTCCTGGAGAAATATCAAGGGTGCCAACAATTTCGGCCATGACTGTATGCAGTACTGTTGGATAAGATTTTTCATCTGCCGTTAAAAAAGAGCATATATGCCCAAGCATGGGGGGCCTGGGGTGGCCAGTGGGTGGATAGCCCCTATGCTTCGGCATATATATTTTATAATATTTTTTGGCACATATTTCAATAAAAATTAGTTTTATTAAGTTACTGTTTTATTGTTAACCATTGCTGTTTTCTTTGCAGGAATGCCATTCAGCTTCAGCACCGACCTGTTTATTCTGACAACAACAGGGTCTTGCTCTCAGAATATACATAAGTAAGAGTGTGCATTCTGCTCCTTCTCCCGAGTATGGGGATACCACATGTAAGAGATTTTTTGGCAGTCTAGCCACGTACAGGACCCCAAAATACAAATAAGCACCTTCAGGCTTTTAAAGGGCTTTATTTCCTCATTAAACTTCTTGACTACCTATCACAGTTTCGGAGGCCCTGAAATGCCAGGATAGCACCAGACCCCCCCCAAATAACCCTTTTTTGGAAAGTAGACATCCCAAGGAATTTGATAAGAAGCATGGTGAGTATTTTGTAGATCTCGTTTGTTGCCACAAGTTTTTGGAAAATGAAGAAAAAACAAAAACAGTGTTTCTTTGTTCTCACAAGGTTTTGAAAAGAAAATATATGTTTTTGTTTTCTTTCTTCTTTTTTTTTGTTTGTAAGTGGTGAGGAAGTGAAATGAGGAAGTTATGCACTTTCAGGCTTTCAAAGTGGTCATTGGATTTCAGGCTCCTGCATGTGGCTAGGCTCCCAAAAAGTCTCACATGTGGTATCCCAATACTCAGTAGAAGTAGCAGAATGTATTTTGGGGTGTAATTACACATGCCGATGGCATGTGTGAGCAATATATCATTTAAATGACAACTTTGTATATAAAAAAAAAAAAAAAAAAAATGTTTTTGTCATTTTCTAGAAACTTGTGGGAAAAAAATCTTCCATGGACTCAACATGCCTCTCAGCAGATAGCTTAGGGTGTCTACTTTCCGAAACAGGATTATTTGGGGGTGTTTGTACTGTCCTGGTATTTTAGCACCTCAAGAAATGTGATAGGCAGTCAGAAAGTAAAAGCCGTGTAAATTCCAGTATCTATACCATAGTTTGTAGATGCTATAACTTTCACACAAACCAATTAATATGCAGTTATTGGGATTTTTTTTACCAAAGACATGTAGCAAAATACATTTTGACCTAAATTTATGATGAATTTTGAGTTTTTTGCATATTTTTTATGACAGAAATGAGAACATATCGGTTTTTTTTTTAAATAATTCCCGTCTTTTTTTGTTTTTAGTGGGGGAAAAAACCCAGAGGAGATCAAATACCACCAAAAGAAAGCTCTATTTGTGTGTAAAAAGGACATAAATTGCATTTATGTACAGTATTGCATGACCGCGCAATTGTCAGTTAAACTAGCACAGTGCCGTATAGCGCAAAATGGTGTAACTTCCAATATCTATACCACTATATGTAGATGCTATAATTTTCACACAAACCTGTTGGGATTTTTTTTTACCAAAGACATATAGCAGAATATATTTTGGCCTAAATGAATGACTAACTTTGAGGTTACTATATATTTTTTATAGCCGAAATTAAAAAAATATAATTTAAAAAAAAAACTATTTTTGGTCCTTTATTGTTTATAGCACAAAAAAAACCCAGAGGTGATCAAATACCAACAAAAGAAAGTTCTATTTGTGAGGAAAAAAAAGGACATAAATTTCATTTATGTACAGAACTGCATGACTGCGCAATTTTCAGTTAAACGAGCGCAGCATTGTATAGAAAAAAATGGCGTAAATTGCAGTATCTATACCATAGTTTGTAGATGATATAACTTTCACACAAAGCAATCAATATACACTTATTGGGATTTTTTTTTTTAACAAAGACATGTAGCAGAATACATTTTGGCCTAAATTTATGACTTAACTTGGAGATTACTATATATTTTTTTATAGCTGAAAGTTAAAAATATAGTGTTTTCCCCAAATTTTCAGTCTTTTTTTGTTTATAGTGCAAAAAATAAAAAGTGCACAGGTGACCAAATACCACCGAAAGAAAGCTCTATTTGTGTGAAAAAAAGGCCATAAATTTCGTTTTGGTACAGCATTGCATGACCATGCAATTACCAGTTGAAATAGTGCAGTGCCGAATAGCAAACAAAGGCCTGGTCAGGAAAGGCAAGTGGTTAACGTTGTCACAGGAGGGAAGGTTTTACTTCAACAGTAGAAGATTCCAAATCTCCTCTTTTTGTGGTTTGGATAGAGTGTGTTTAGGGTTTAAAACCACTGCCATGTGTTTTTTTTTTTTTTTGTTTTTTTTTGCATTCTGTGTACCATTGGGGAAATTTCCTTTCATTTTATGTTCCGGGCATGCAACAGGACATTCGAGGAAATATCCCAAAGTAAGGAGATTTCGCTCTTAGACTAGCTCTGTCCCAAGAACAAGCATCCCCATTGGGAGATTTCCCTTCACCTCTTGTTCTGGTGACAGCTCTAATATTTTTGATTTCCCCTTACTCTCCGTTTTTGAGATAATGATTACCAGTAACAGGAGTGCTGAATCAGCAAGGAAAAGTTAACAAAAGGTCTATTCAGTTTTTTAAAAAAAATCTAAAGCTGCACTTTTAGGCCAGGTTCACATGTTCCCGCAGTCTGTGGGTGCAAGAATCACACCTGTTCCCACAATCACAGCCAACTCGTACTGCTCTTGTGGGCACCCCCATGCATCTCAGCCTGTAGCGCATTTGTAGGTGTGGGAACTGCAGGGAAATCGGATGGTCAAAAAGACCATGTGGTTTCCCTGTGGCTTTGTTTTTAAAACGGTGCATGCACCTTTTTCCTGCAGGAAACGCGGGCCCGAGGAAAACGTGGGCTGCACAGCCCTCAATAGCGTGAACCTAGGCTACGTTTTTAAGAGGAGGATGAGCATGGGTGTGAAAGAATATTTAATTTCTAAAAAAAAAACTAAAATTGTTACCATAAGGCTATATTATTTTTCTGGCATGAATAATTGGTAAATAGGCTAAATTTCTTACCTACCTTGGGGAAAATGTTGCTGTCTGCCCCTTTTGTTGCTGACTATATGTATAAAGTTCTAGGCTCTATATGATTTCTGCTATAAAAGAAAATTGACCCACTACAGTACTCAAGCAATGCCGACAGTGTGGTACTTTTGACCCCTCCTTCAATATAGAAGCAGCAAATGCAGACATGAAGATGTTCCAGCAAAATCTCTGTTCAAACATGAACATCTTGGACCCCTGGACGTGTTTACTATCACCTCCAAAGAAAGAAGAAACAGCTTAAGGGTTCAGGATGACAGACTTTAGGCTTGTGTTGCTGAACAAATGCAGCATCCTGTCTGGTCTGATACATTTAGCCTGCACTTAACATTGGTTTGAGCTGTTTCTGCACTTGAACTCTTTTCTGACCTGCAGTTGACCTCTTTCTTATAGATGTATGGGAAGAGAAGCAGTTCTGACACAAACAAAATCCTGTCTACAAGGGCCTTAGTTTTTGTAATGCTTGAAAATGGAAGCCATACTTGTTACAGTTAGGCATATTGTGGCCATATCTAAGCAAAACTAGCACAGATTTTCAGGTTGCCCACTGTCCACCTCCTGATAACCCTATCACACTCCATGAGTCCTCATTTTAATGCTAGTGTCCTAAGGTGATGGACTTCATCTCTTTCACTGATCAATCACACTTCGTGTAACTAGTTATATTTCCCTTTGATATTTTATCTCCAGATTCTTCAATCAATCTCATTGTCTTCTAATGCCACAGATAGAAGCAGTGTATCCGGATCGGAGCCACCTCAGAAAAACCTTGGGAGTCGTGCCTTAACCCCACACCAATGGGATGGCCTGTAATTTAGCTCCGGTCACTGAATGCTGCAATGGCACTCACCTCGGCACTTAGTGCAATGCATTTAGTGAGCTGCAGTGTGCTATATGGATCCAGAGCTGTGTTCCATTCCTTTTGGAACCCAGTCCCTGAAAACCCCTTCGATGGTGGGTCCACTGTGATAGATGAAGCCTGGCCTTTATACAGTCCAGGTGGATAAAAGCTTTTATCAAAAGACCTCAGTGAAATGGCAATAAACTAAATCATGGTTCTTTTTATCAGCTTTAAATTGTCTTGTTTGTTAATCCTGCAAGGTGTTTTTTTTATCTTTTTTCTTCACAAAATGAGCTTCCCTCATAATGGTTCCAACCCCCCCCCCCAGTAGGTTCATGGAAAGAGCACCAACAAAAAAGTATCTTCATCTGAATGTGGAGATAATTAGTCTATCTCCTCTTTAATTACGGTAGGTTTTTGGTGATCACGTTTCTACTCTCGGGGCCTTGTGCTGAGTTTGGTCGTTCTTTTACAACTGGGAATTGTGAATGGGGTGGGGAAGAGCAGGTAATGAAACCTATGTATGACAAAGTTAGAGATTAAAATGATTTTGTATGCTATTTACAGTACTTTAATCATCTGCTGGTCAACAATTGTCTTATTTCCAATCTTTGAAGAGCATGTGATGCTGTGTAAGATGAAATGAAAAAACAACAAAATAAAAGATACTGATATTTCAGGAGATCTTGTTGGGAAGGTCAGTCTTTTTGCAGTTAGTGTCCCCGAAGGAGCCGCTTGGTAATTCTGGGTTCTCTATTTTGCGCCTCAATTCCAAGAACAACCTCAGCTCCTATGGCACACCTGGTTGAATATAATCACTGCAAGCACAGGTGAAGACATGAGTGTAAAATACTTTTTGCCTGGCTGTGGGTTATTACCAGTAAATAAACACATACCTGTTTAGTAGTAGGCACAAGTTATCTATTGATACGAATTAGAATAAATGATAGTTTGAACTTGCATAAGCTCATAGCAGGTAAATCAAGACACAATCTGCTAGACAAAGTAATAATTATGCCCATGTAAAATAAATACAAGAAAAAAATCAGGTTTTATGCCACTAACTAGAAGCAACAATGTAAATAAGCTTTAGATGTCGTAAAAATTATAATAACTATACTGAGTTTCAGTGCACTCTAAGGGATTGGCTGGGGTGTAGCACAGTGTCTCCTAAGAGTTACCTCTTTAACTATCAAAAAAGGGCAAGGGCTTTGGGCAACAATGGTTAGGGGCAGTCAGTCCTGACTCTTTGGCTAGCTAAAAAGTTGGAGCTCTTTAACCATTGTCGTGCTTTGAGGAAGTCAGTAAGGCCTGCAGGCAGTATTAGAGCTATGGAGTAGCTAACTAGGTGGCTCCTAATGGCTCAGTCTCTAGGGATGGTAGTAAATAGTGGCCCTCTCACCAAAACCATCAACACAGCAGCAACAATTCCTCCAGGTGGAGGTCTGCTTAGTCTGGATCACTTGGACGATTCCAGCCTTTAGTACAGCAAGCCTGTATCCTGGAAGTGGCTCAGACTTTCTCTGCACACAGGTGACAGCTCACCTTCCCTGGCCTTCCCACATTGTAGTTGCTTCCAGTGGTGTGGCCTCCCTCTCTGGTGGTGTTGGGAAGTGCGGCCTTCCCTCTCTTCTCTCCTCCTCAAAGCCTCTTTTCCTGGGCTCTTCACTGTCTCTTCCAGCTGTGCATGCTGCGGACTGCCCAATTGGCCGCAGTGAACTCTCTCTGGGGACTACATGTCTTTTGATGCTCCTCTCATCTTTGGTGATTGGTCCCTACTGTTTCTAAGGGGGGAAGAAGTGCATGCGCTAGACCAGGATTTACAGAGAGCTCGCTGTCTCTCCCAGTGCCCCCTACGCAAACTGCTCCGGTCCTCTCTACAAGAGCCGCTCCTGTCGCACTCTCCTGCACTGCTGACAGGAGGAGGGGGTGAGAGCAATCAGGAGGGGGATTGACTGCACCCTCTACATGGTATAGAGCTTTTAAAATCACCAGTAAAGTAAAAAGTTCTGCTACATGTATAGCACCCCAATGCACATGCCATGTGTTGTGGTGCAATATATTCTAAATAAAAAAAAAAAAGGACATGTCTGTTGTAGGCTGCATTGTAGTGCGTCAACAGCACACTCAAAATCAATGGGTTACCTTAATGAAACACATAATGCGTAATTTAGCAGGTGTTAGCTAACGCAACCCAATGCATTGATGAAATGGGAATGTTCCCTAAAGCATTCCCTAGCACCTAACCCTTTCTATTTTGGAACATGTAACTCCTAAAATAATTTTATAACTCTTAAAGCTGTCCTCTGGACAATTTTTTAAGATACACTATATTGCCAAAAGTATTGGGACACCCCTCCAAATCATTGGATTCAGGTGTTCCAATCACCTCCATGGCCACAGGTGTGTAAAATCAAGCACCTAGGCATGCAGACTGCTTCTACAAACATTTGTGAAAGAATGGGTCGCTCTCAGGAGCTCATTGAATTCAAGAGTGGTACCATGATAGGTTGCCACCGGTGCAATAAGTCCATCTATGAAATTTCCTTGCTACTAAATATTCCACTGTCAGGACAGACAGTATAGGACAGACTTGCATTTATAAAATTGCAAATTGTATTGAATATATCATAAAAATATGTTTGTTTAACCACTCGCCTACAGGGCACTTATACCCCCTTCCTCCCCAGGCCAATTTTCAGCTGTCAGCGCTGTCACACTTTGAATGACAATTGCGTGGTCTTGCAACACTGTACCCATATGAAATTTTTATCATTTTTTTGAGACAGATAGAGCTTTCTTTTGGTGGTATTTAATCACCTCTGTGTTTTTTATTTTTTGCTAAACAAACCAAAAACCACAGAAAATTTTGAAGAAAAAAAGTTTTTTTTTAGTTTTTGTTATAAAATTTTGTAAATAAGTTTTTTTTTTTTTCTTCACTGTTGTGCGTTAATGAGGCTGCAGTGATAGGCTGCACTGATGGACACTGATAGGTGGCACTGATGAGAAGGCACTGGTAGGTGGCACTGATGGGCATTGACAGGCATCGCTGATGGGCACTGAAAGGCAGCACTCATATATGGCACTGATAGGCGGCACTGGCTGGCACTGATTGGCAGTACTGATAGGTAGCACTGACTGGCATTGATAGGTGGCACTGACTGACACTGATAGATAACACTGAAAAGCAGCTCAGATGGGCACTGATATGTGGCATTGATGTGCATTGGTAGGCACTGATGGGCACTGGCAGGTGGCATTGATGAGCACTGGCAGGTGGCATTGATGAGCACTGACAGGTGGCACTGCTGGGGCTACGCAGATCATCAGGGCACACTTATCATCAGTGCCCTGATGATCAGTGCACATGTCCCCTCTGATTAAAGCAATTACCGGCTCTCCTCTCCTCTCAAGCTGTCAGCGTGACAGCTCGTGAGGAGAGAGAAAATGCCGATAACCAGCATTTTCCTACTTACATGTGATCAGCTGTGATTGGACACAGCTGATCACATGACCGAGCCGACATCTTCAGCTCTTTCCATTGATCGGTGATCCACTGTGTCCGAGGGACACATCGCACCACCAATCGCCACGCTGCACGCTCCCGGAGCCACGCATGCGCGGTTAGAATGGGAGGACGTCATATGATGCCCTCCCAGAACGAGAGAACCACCTTGCGCCCGTCATTACCTTATATGGTGGGCGGGAGGCAGTTAAGAACAATACATGGCTAGCCAGCCCAAGTATATCTACAATGTTTCGCTTGTTTGCTTCTTCAGGACTGTGGAACTTGAAGGCAGAGAAATCAATTGCCTTAACTATATATACATACATGAAGCACTAATCGTGCACATAAACTTCCAAAGAAAACATAAACATTGAAAACTGTTCTCCGCAAGCTCACATACTGGCACAGACAGGGAATGCAGGGCATCAGCATGCACAGGGAGTCAGCAAAATAGTCTTAGGTGGGCACCCATATCCATTATTCATCCTAATATCCCAAATATTATGGTATCCTGATCAAAAGGAGACCCACATAAGATGAAAAGAAGGGAGGAGCGGCAAAAACCACTTACTTGATCAAGAGACAAAAACAGAACAATTTGCATATAGGTGAGTCCATACAAGGCACATGTTCCAGAAAACAGCTTGTATTGTTATCTAGACTTACTAATACACAAATAATCAGAATCACTTCAGTATGGAAATGCCTATCTCTTAGGGACTCATTAAATGCCAACACCCCCTATCCAAACACATACGCAACACTCCCAACATCAGACAGAGGGAGAAAGTGCACTTTCAGGTCAGATACCCAGCTTCAGTGGTTGTGACGTCAGTCAACTCCTATAAGTGCTCATGTCCATACATACAGTATTACTACTCCTCCAGTATCCCTAAAATATAATAAAACAATGCTCAGAAACCCCCAGTTACTGTTCTTCTATTATCAAACTATGTGTCTTTCCTTCAATTGCCTCCGGATCATAGTCAACCAGCCGTGTGATAACTCCAGACACCACAACTTAAATGGCTAGTATGGCACCAAACAGCATCTGGCAGGGTGCTCAAAATGGCATCCTCTGCCGGACATACGTCATCCTGCGTCTTGCGTCACATCCGCCCCCTGATCCAACACAGGGCAGAAGTGATTCACCTCCGCCATGCAAGTGTGCGCCTACACTCTGGCCCACATCCTGACTCCACAACACTAACCACGGCCTACAGTGGCATCTGGGAACCCTGCCAGCCGCCACCACCTCAGCTCTACCTTTTTGGGACAGACTGGACAATATGTAGCCCAGTCTCCCAGCTGGTATCCATGGCCGGTCGCTCCCAATACTCTCAGTACCAAAGGAGACAATCATATTCTTTTTGACGTCCCATATATAAAATCATCCATGATAAAAATCAAAACAACAAAGAATAGAGGTTAATGCCCACTTTAGCCAAACAACCCATCACATGCCATAACACACATCCCAATCTGTAGCACGTTATTCTGGGACACCTTATAAAGAACATCTTCCAATGTATGCATATAAATAATATATGGACAATACAGCCCTACAAACCCTCATCATAACTGGACCCGCAACACCTGCACAGATGGAATAGCTACAGCCAAGATTAATAGGAGGGACCCCTTTAACATCCACAGATAGCTCACTTATAATCATAATTCTAACAGAAAAAACCATATCTCTATCAATTCTTACAAAAACAGTGTAAAGCTTAATGCCTCATGTCTGGAGGGGATGTTACATTCAAGGTATAAATCCATCTTGGCTCCTTCTGTAACACTTTTTATCAAAATTACCCCCTCAGGGGTCCTCCAAACTCTTTCTAAAACTGCAAAGCGGATCATGTCTGTATTGTGGCTATGCTTCAGAGCTACATGCCTCCCAATGGGTATATACAACAGATTTCTTATAATGTAGTAAATGTCATATATTCTCTTCCAGAAATTTCTTATAGTGTTTGCAACATAGCCCCAAATTATGGTGTGGGGTTGTTTTTCAGGGGTTGGGCTTGGCCCCTTAGTTCCAGTGAATGGAACTTTTATGGCATCAGCATACCAAGTCATTTTGGACAATTTCATGCTGCCAACTTTGTGGGAACAGTTTAGTGATGGCCCTTCCTGTTTCAACATGACTGTGCACCAGTACAGAAAGCAAGGTCCAAAAAGACATGGATGAGCAAATTTGGGGTGGAGGAACTTGACTGGCCTGCACAGAGTCCTGACTTCAACCCGATAGAACACCTTTGGGATGAATTAGAGCGGAAACTGTGAGCCAGACCTTCTCCTCCAACATCAGTGCCTGACCTCACAAATGTGCTTTTGGAAGAATGGTCAAACATTCCCATAGACACACTCCTAAACCTTGTGACAGCCTTCTCAGAAGAGCTGAATCTGTGATAGCTGCAAAGGCTGGGCCAACTCAATATTAAACCCTACGGACTAACACTGGGATACCATTAAAGTTCATGTACATGTAAAGGCAGGCGTCCCAATACTTTTGGCAATATAGTGTATCTTGGAATAGCTACAGTTACTCTCAGAATTTATTTCTACCTCTAACTTCATTGGGGAGATTTTCCTTCACTTCCTGTTCCTGTGAAACTAGGACAAGATGTGATAGATTTATCACTGGGACAGGATGAAATGGACAACAATAAAACATTGTCAGTTTTGACCCTTCCCCACTCTACTTAAAAATGTGTGTTTGTGTCTCTGCCCCTGTTTGAGGGGTTTTCTATTACTATTACTTTCTATTCTGGTAAGGAGTGAGGGGAAATTTACCCAATAAGGTTGCTAATAGGTGGGCAAAGCTTGTCATTCTGTACTGGGTCCTGACCGCATCAGTCCAGCAGGTGGCCAGGGGCCTTAAGTATGAATGCAGGCAGAATAATACTGCAGCTTCCAGCAATTAAAGAAAAGTTCCCTTGGCCCCTTTAGTTCACCAGGGGGGCTAGAGAAAGAGAAGGACAAAAGGAAAGCACCTCTAAGTGCATTAGGACCAAAAGATTGAATAAGCTCAACATAAGGTCATTCACATTTATTAGTTAAAAAACAGGCTCATCAATTAGGGACCAGATGGATAAACTTCGCCGGTGAGTACCGTTGGGTTACACATCAGTCCAACCAAGCAAAGTTGATGGAAGTCAGCCACTCACTTCCTGGATATCTGTGGAGCAGAGTGTTGGCAAAAGTGATGTTGACTAGCAGGACATGCATGCTCCTTTCTCAAGCGGCTGGGCTGGGAACAGAGAAGGGCATACTTACTGTTTTTATAGAGCAGGCTGAGTAATCCCCCATTGCAGTGGCTCCCAACAAGTAAATTAAGGTTCAGGTCTCTTTTTCTATATCAGTCTGCCAGGGCTGGCTGGAACCATGGAGGACTGCTTCTTTGATTCCTGCACCCTGTTTGTTACATATAATGGACCCCTGCATTCTCTGCATGGCCCAGTGATGATGCTTGTACTCTGTTAAATTTTCCAGATACTCTGTATATTACATACTTCTGACCCCTGCACTCTGAATGTAGGCTCAGGTTTTAGGCCCTGACTACTTTTAGCACACCCATAGTTTGTCATAAAGTGCCGCCTTTTTCAGGTAGACTGTAAAGGACCGCACGATTTCTAATGGTGGCCTGATTATATACCATAAGTATGCTTCTGTAGGTCACTGAAGCACCCACATTGCATTATGAAAATTGCAACGAATACCAATTTGGTGAGTAACATTGCAGACACATACACTAGGACAATAATACAAAGGCCTGATAATTCAGTGCTAATGCTCGTTCAGTTAATCTTTGGTGAGGACAGGTTCACTTTAGGAGTCATCATCCCTTAGTAGCATGCAGTCTAGGAATCACCCGATGACTGCATCATTTTGGAAGGTATGTAAGAAGCATTAATTATATATGGGGCTTGTCCTTATCTATGAAGCGCCTGCAGAGCTTTTAGCAGTTGGCCACTTCACCTCAAGCAGCTTGGCGTCTGTCTGCCGTAAAGAAGCTTCCCTTGAAGGCTTGCTCAGGCCTAACATGCCATTGCTTTCTCTGGGTGACATCTTGGCCTGTACTACAAGCAAACCATTAAGCTTAAAAAGCAAATGTATCATGTCCTTACAAAGACTGGTGAGACAAGGCATTGTTGATAATCATTATTGATCATCCTTAACCACACAATTACCTTCCTCATACTATTTTATGGCAGTTCCTGGATGGCCTTAACTCCTAAAGTGCTTCATGCGGACTCGCTCCTACCTGGGAGGAACCAGCCATTGTAAAACTGGTGAGTTCAATTTCCGAGAATAAACATAACCTTATCTCTAGCAAGCATTCTTTATAATGTAATTCCCTGAAAGTTGTAGGAGAACCATAGTCCAAAAACAACATGTAGTAAGTAACATTAAATTTAACATTCTGAGATGGCAATATTGGAGCTGTCATTATTTTTTCTTACAGGGTAAACCCTGGCTTCACTACCTAGTGATTTACTTACTGGTTACATGGTATACAGGTCTTTACTAGCTACATGTTTGTTTAAGGTCACTGACTCAATATGTACTGAAGCCACAATGGAGATTACAGCCCAGTGCCTGAACCTTTGGGAACAAGTCCGCAATATTCTCTCCTGTATCTATTTACTTATTACAGGTACTTATATAGTGCCGTCAATTACACAACGCTTTACATGTATATTGTATGTTCATATCTGTCCCTTCCCTTAAGGAGCTTACAGTCTAAGGTCCCTAACTCACATTCATACATACATATACTAGGGCCAATTTAGACAGGAGCCAATTAACCTGCCAGCATGTCTGTGGGGTGTGGGAGGAAACCAGAGTACCCGGAGGAAACCCACACAGGCACATGTATTTACTTTTTTTTTTTTTTTTTTTACAGGTACACTGTGAAGAACAGCTCCAGGAACACAATCTCTGCATTGCATTTAGGTGATTATAATGATGCCCCTATGCCTCCAACCCATT